AATTATATTTCTTTATACATATATATACCGGTCTTTGTTATTTTCTTTTACATTTCTTTTGGGTGGATTCATTCCGAGTCTGCCATATTCGTAGTGGGCCCTATTTCAGGAGACGACACGTGGTAATCTGCACAACGCTTACAAACACACGGCCCGCTACAACACCATAGTAGAAAATGGATGGTAGATATCATAATATAGTAGAAAATGGATGGTAGATATCATACTATAGTAGAAAATGGATGGTAGATATCATATTATAGTTCTCCTGTAGTGGTATTGTAAGATATGTTGGCTAGGGTCACCATGAAATATAACAGCAATCAAGAAGAAAAGCTGTGTTCTTATAAACAACACTTCACATGAAATATGCACAGAATATGTGAGAGAAATAAGTCAAGCTCCATGAACATTAATAAAATATTGTATTAACAATGATATACAAATATCAACAATAAGTATAAAAAAGTTACTTCCCTTTTTCTGTAATAAAAAGGGTGAATGCATCTAAGTAATGTTGAGTTACAATATTAAATGTTAATTAACTATAAAGTTCAATTAATGTTCTTAGCTCATTGAAGAATAATTCCACAGTCTGTGAGTGTGAAAATATGTACTGTACACAAGTGATATTAATAGAAATTAGTAAGATTACTCGAATGAGTAATAACTAAGAATTAAAATGTTATAAGTAATATAGCGCCGTGCCGTATATTCAGAGAATTGAACTGCTACAATATTTAGCTATCCCCCACGTGGGATTGAATGTGGCACAAGACCGAGTTTATTGTGGGTCATCCGAGCCCGTAGAATTTTGGTTAGCGTGAAAATTGAACTGCTACTGCCGTTGGCTAACAGCGAGAGAGTTTATATAGGTATGCATAGGCTCAAGTGAGCTTGGCGCCAAAAAACTTAGAAAGATACTAAAATACGCGATTGGTCAGGAAATGGACCAATCCGTGATTTTAGAGAAAAATTCAAATAATGTGCGATGGCAAAATTGTCATATAGTAAGTATCATATATTTATGAACCAATGACATTAAAGAAAGCGGAGGTGTGGCACATGTAAGTGATCACCACACTCCACCTATGTGGACTCACGGCTAATTTAAACGGGTCTGTCAGGGGTAACAACTGCAACCAAACCCCATATTAATGCACTACGTATCCTCTTTGGACGTTAACACAGGGCTTTACTCATACAAGGCTAATACCATCCTGTGATATAATATAACACACCCCTTTTAACTCTTGACCCAGTGCAGCAAACATTGGCCTATAGCAATTGCATCTTTCGCGAGAAACAAAGAAAAGAGTAATTTTACTGCTAGTGTTATGTAATATCGGCCTTCCTATATGACAGTGAATGCTGGACAATCTCCACAAAGATGAAGAAGAGGCTTGAAGCAACAGAAATGTAGATGCTGATAAGACTATGAATCCAACATGTGAGCTAACAACGAAGTTTTAGAGAAAATGGTAAAAAGGGACACTTATACAGTGTAACCCGGATACAAGAGAGTTGTCGGGACCGGAGAAGAAGTCTCTTATATCCGGGTTTCTCTTATATCCGGGTTTGGCCTATTTTGTTTAGGTAAGTATGGGCTCTAATTTGGGACCAGAGAAAATCTCTCTTATATCCGGGTTTCTCTTATATCCGGGTCTCTTATATCCGGGTTACACTGTGCTTAACATCAGAAAGTGATATAAAAATTTTACACAGAAACATAAAAGATTTTTGTGCAAGATATAAAAATTTTGCTTTCCTATCAACACCAAGTTCTTGTGCCAGGCGCAGAACTTAGTTGGTGGAAACTCTCAAAAATAGGTGCAACTTAAAAAAAAAAAAAAAAACAAGACTGTCGGAGTTACCTCCTCCTTAATTCCCTAATTGTCACTAGGGCTCGTTCTCCCTACACTATAAATACTGGGCAACTTCTTGCCTCGTTCTCTTTTTCATTTCTTTCTTTTCTTCTTTTCAGCGAACACATGTAAGCTCTCTTAGAAGATAGCGTCTCCCCACCTGTGGGAAGACGCCGTGAACATTATACACACAACATACACATACATACGAACGTTCACCAAAATACAAACTCTTTCCGTTCACTCACAAACACAAATGTTGATGTCTTTGTCACTTGTAAATTTGTTGTTTAACACATATATTTGTTGGCATACATCGGTCTTGTTTGTTTCCTTTACTTATGATGCGACACGACTTTGCGAATTTGAATGCACGTTATTCATTTGCTATTAATACTGCAAATTCAGCATAGCCCCTTTATAAGATGACCACTGCGTAAAATTTTAAAAGGAACAACACATTTATTTACATTTACGAATCTGAAAAGTGCAAAACAAGGGTTGCACAAACATTTTCTTTTGTACGCCACTTTGTGTAAGATAACACTTTCATGGGGTAACAAAAAAAAAAAGAGATCTTCTATCTCTATATATAAAACTGACTATGTGTGTGTGTGCATGTGTGTGTGTTTGTGTTCGCGAACTACTCGAGAACCATAAGGCATATTTCCACCAAATTTCGAACATAGATTGTACTCGATACTGCGTGTGTCTGGGCAAAAAAAAGTCATTTTTCAAAAATCAATAACCGATAATCGATAAATATAATGTTTAAATGGGAATTTCCATTAGATTGGTTGTTTTTAAACTTTCAGACTTGAAGTCTAAACCTTGAGACCGTCTTTAAGTGTAAGCAACTTACTGTCACGCTTATTATACGCTATATTGATTTTCGTTTCTCTCGTTAATGGGACCCCCAGGGTACCCCAAAGGGACCCCCCAAAATTCAAATTGCTTCGATTTTGATGAAATTTTGCATGTTTGTTACGCACTTACAATGAGATAGAAATCGATTTTTTTTAAAATGCCTGAGGGGGCCCCCGGGATGACCTTATGTTGTGGTAGGATCCACCTAATTTGCATAGTGGAGTACCGACCATATAAATATGGTTGGTACCGGGAAGAGAGGGTGGAATCAAGAGATTCAATCCAGAGACTCTGCCCGACTGCGACTCAGTCAACACATTCTCCAGGAACGGTCTTACCAGGAATATACAAAAGACTATATGTAAATATTGTGTACACTTTCTTGTTTCAATACATTTAGTTCTAAGTACATTTTGTGTTGCATTATTCCATGCATTAGCCAAGTTTCAACACCTTATAAACCCCTTGATGCCTCAATTGCTTTTCAAGTGTATTTTGTAGCAGTATTCCCCAATTTCAACGAAAATTTCAGTACATATTGAGATTATATCGAGTAACTGAAGTAGTCACTTGGAATTCACTGAAAATCAACACTGGGACCCCCACGAGTTAGGGGACCAGCAGGGAACCCCGAAATTTTCAATTAAGTCTACAGCCTTAGTCATAAAGTCGATTAAATAGAAAACTTTAAAAAGATGTTCTTTATTATTACAATTACTATTAGTCTTAAACCTGTCCCTTGGTTTGAAATTTGGGACCCCCAAATTTTTAAATTGCTTCGATTTCGACGGAATTTTACATGTATGTTACAATCTTAAAATGAATCAAAAACGATTATCAGATTTTGAAAACTACATAAGGAGTCACAAAATGACCCATGAACCCCTTGGTGTCCCATTAGTCTTTCAGTTGTAGTGGTTAGCAGTATTCCGATGAAAATTTGCACATAATTTGTGTTTAGATCAATCAACTCAAAGTCAAAACTGATACCCATGTGTCATAAATACATTATGAAAAATAAAGAAAAATCTTCTTTATTTTAATTTTACATATTGGATGAGGTTCGTGATCTTTTTTTGAATAAACACAGGCAACGCCGGGTAATGCTGCTAGTTACCTATAGAAACAAGAAAAAGAATATTTCACAATTAATTTAAGAAACGGATTCATGTACAAAATTAATCCCTTACAAAGTACAGAAAAATTGGGAAAAAAACCTTGGAGAAAGGATTTAAGAATATGGTACAAGGCAGGAATTTTTTCAAATGGCACCACCTCTGTTCTTAACAATATTCAGAAACAGGACATCTCAGATCGGAATGGTTTTGTGTTATAAATTTAACTTGTTTGTTCTTGGGTGTATAATCTTCAGTCCTTGTGTCTGTCAAGTCAAATTTATAACCTCCGACTGGACTTTCCTTGAAGTGTGGATGCTATGCTCAGTCCATTCTAGGTAACAGCACATCCTTGTCTCCTCTCTTCTTCTTCTTCTCCTCTCAGCCAAATTGATCTGCCTCTACCTGCTCTCTGATCCTCTCTCCAGACTCTGCCGCTACCTGTCCTCTAGATTGCTGGTAGCAGTCCTTTTTATTGAAAGAGTGATCGTGATATCGGCTCCATCCAAAATTTGACATTGGCCAGCAAGCTTTTTTTTCATTTTTATCTAAAAAAAAAAAAATCTCCAAGTGTTCAAGAAAATAAATCTCGAAATCTTTCAGACAATTTTGGCAGTTCACCGCTTGAGCATAACTGGCCATAAAAAATGCGCAACATTTGACAAAACCGCCTGACCCCCCTGAAGAATAAACTTTTCTCAAAACTAGTATATAATAAAAACAACCTATACGATTATACATGGATGTTTAACATTTTTTACCAACAATAAAAATAAAATTTTTTACCAACAATAAAAATAAAATTTTTTATAGAAACATTTGAAATTATTATAGCATATAATGAGGAAAGAGGGCTTGGAAAATTTGATACTCACAGGACATATTGAGGACAAGATGGACAGAGGAAAACAACGTATAACCTATCTAGTAAGCTTGAGTAAATGGATGGCCGAGCAAGACTTAGGAGAGATAACAAAAAGACAAAATTTATTAAGACATACAAAGGACAGGAAATTGTGGAGAGCTATAATCACCAATGTTTTGAAGGCACACGGTACATAAAAGATCTAAATTTTTAATGTACCTCTAAAAAATGTAAATATAAGCAAATGTAAACAAATGTGAAAAAAAATGAGTCTTGTTCCAATTAGGCTACGGCCACATTACATTGAAATACCTGTTCCCGTATAACTACCGAAGTTAAGCAACGTCGAACCTGATCAGTGCCTAGATAGGTGACCGCTTGGGAAAACCAGGTGCTGTAAGCTTGGATGTTCGGGCGGTGTGTAGATAATGGCTCGGAATTGTTAATAGGAGAGCTGAGTTCCAATTCCTCTTGGCTTCATTATATTCACATATGCGCGAATACCCTTGGGAAAGGTATGTATCCACTCCTTTTTTCCCCAGCTATGGATTAATTAGTAATAATTGTATCACTAAAACCATTATTATCTAAAAAAAAATATAAGTGAGTATAAAATAATTAAATTTTGGCATTAAATAATCCATAAAAGGTGTTTGTATGCCACTTGACTAACTAAACAAAAACAACCAAACAATTTCAAATCAGGGTTCAAGTGTTAAATTATACTGCTGAGTTAAAAGTATAGCACATCCCCATAACCCCCTGAACACGTACTGCCCACTTTAGAGTGCAAAGTGCCCCGTCCGCCACTAAGTGGAAGTTACCACCTCCATTGAGTCTAAATTTTAAAATTATAATAGACGACAAGGATTTTTTTTAGTATAGTCAAGTTATCTCCCTTGAATCATAAAATTTATTTGTATTTAGTGAGCGTACGCTCCTCAGCCTTGTGTGGAACCAGCGGGTAAACTAGTGGCTCACAATCATTTTGGGGCCATGCCACACCTCTAAAACTCTGATGCCCCCACCCACCGTGACATATAGTTATTATTATTCAAAAAGTGAAGTCCTGTTTACCTGGAGGAAGCCTACGAGGCCATTTAACTAAAAACAAGCTCCCAAAGAACATAACATTCATGAAAGAGAAAAATAAAAGAACTAAAAGCTAGTTTAAGTACCGAGGAAGAAATTTCTGCGAAATTGTCAATAATAATAATAATATGAAGTGATATAATAATAATAATAATAATAATAATAATAATAATAATACACACTGACAGAACAATCAAAGCTAACCGCCCAGACATATCATTAGAGACCGCAAACAAAAAAAGTGCCTCCTTATTGATATGTCAGTCCCGGCAGACTGCAATGTATTTTTGAAGATCTTCAAAAAACTATCAAAGTACAAGGACCTTGAAATCGAAATCTCAAAAATGTGGCATATGGTAACATCAACAATCCCTGTTGTAGTTGGAGCCCTCGGATTGATTGAAAAAGATTCCAGTAGACTCATTGAAGGAATTCCTGGAAGTCCATGCCTTAAAGAAATACAAAAAATTGTTCTCATGAGTACGGTCCACACCTTACGAAGGGCTTTATCTATGTAAAATATGTGTTTTTCTTTTTTTTTTTTTTTTTTTTGGGTCAGTGGGAAATGTCATGATGCCATTTCTAGTCTTAGGTCTATGGGCGGGGACCTAGAAAGAAATGTGTACACACCAGAAATCAAAGGAAATAATAATAATAATATTATTAATAATAACAACAACAACGTTTTGGGAAAAATGTCTGAAATAATAATAATAATAATAATAATAATAATAATAATAATAATTCCAGTAGACTAATTGAAGGGATTCCTGGAAGCCCATGCCTCAAAGAAATACAAAAAATTGTTCTCATAAGTACAGCTTACACTTTACGAAGAGCTTTATCGATGTAAAATATGTTTTATTTTATTTATTTATTTATTTTTGTCAGTGGAAAGTGTCATGATGCCATTTCTAACCATAGGTCTCTGGTCTGGACCCGGAAAGAAATGTGTAATCGCCAGAAATCAAAAGAAATAATAATAATAATAATAATAATAATAATAATAACAACCTAAAAAAGACAGCAAAGACGAATGCAACCGACCAGCTACAGAAGCGATGGCAAGTTAAACCGCTTCATGGCCAATACTCTGCCCGTACCAAACAAGCTGACGTAGACAAAACCCGTACCCATCATTGGCTACGTAGTGCAGGGTTGAAAGCGGAAACTAAAGATTTTATCCTTGCTGCGCAGGACCAATGCTTGCTAACTAGGAATTATCAAGCACATATACTAAAATATTGTGTCAGCCCAAAATGCAGATTCTGTGATAAATATCCAGAAACGATTGATCATCTTGTATCAGGTTGTAAGGTGTTGGCACCCACTGAATATAAAACCCGACATGACAAAGTGGGCCAATATCTGCACTGGAGAATCTGCAACTTCTACGGGAAGGAAACTGAAAGAAACTGGTATGAACATCACCCAGACCCGGTTACGGAGATAGGACCTGTTACAATTCTATGGGACTACACAACAGAACAATCAAGGCCAACCGGCCAGATATTGTTATTAAAGACCACAAACAAAAACGATGCCTCCTTATTGATATGGCAGTCCCTGCTGACTGCAATGTATCTTTGAAGATATTCAAAAAGTTGTCAAAGTACAAGGACCTTGAAATAGAAATATCGAAAATATGGCATATGGGAACATCAACAATCCCTGTTGTAGTTGGAGCCCTAGGACTGGTTGGAAAAGATTGCAGTAGACTAATTGAAGGGATTCCTGGAAGTCCATGCCTCAAGGAGATACAAACAATTGTTCTGACAAGTACAGCCCACACCTTACGAAGGGCTTTATCTATGTAATTTAATTTTTTTTTTTTTTTTGTTAGTGGAAAGTGTCATGACGCCATTTCTAACCTAAGGTCCCTGGGCGGGACCCGGAAAGAAATGTGTAAACGCCAGAAATCAAAGAAAATAAAAATAATAATAATAATAATAATAGTACTACTACTACTAATAATAACAATAAAAGAGTATTTACTGGTAGAGAGGTAGAGAAAATAGAATAATGAAATATCGATGTATTCTCTCATAAAAAAAACAACTCACTGTAATAACTCATTCTCGAATTGCCCCCATGGCCCTCTTGAAAATCAAATTGCCCCCATGTGAGACGTTCGCATCACTTTAGGAATTACGGGTGTAAAGAATGTCTTTTCTACTTCTCTCTGCGTTTTTATGTCTCCAGACTTTTGGTTTTATAACTAGGAATGCCTAGTTCCTGGAATTCCAACCCTTCGGTAGCATCTCGTTCATCGTATTTAAGATGGAGGGTGTTATGATGTTAATTTGGGTTTAATAAAGACAAACGCCAAATAACATGTAACAATAAAATGGGGTTTATTCGGTTGGTAATTTGGTACATATATCGCCTGAGTAGTCTATAACTAACTCAGCCCAGAACTTCTCCGACTGTCTTTTGACATGCCACTATTTAACGTCCTTGTTTGTAGACGAGTTCATCTTCAAGAGGGGTGGTAGGTTCCTACACAACAGAGGGTTGGTGAAGACCGACGTCGGATTACACTATCTTTCTTGGCGTTGGATCAGAGTGCAATATCTGTTCTCTCATTTTTTAAATTATGAAGATATGGCTAGTTACAGGGGATTCCAGCCTTGCCGTAGACCCCCCTCATTGCACTAAAGAGAAAGGATTGGTGGAGTAACAACTTTAGTGCTACAGTTGCCATGGGAAGTGGGCGATTTTTTGTCCTTGGTACATATTTATGTGTATCGTACCCCCACATTAAAAACATCCTCGTGCTACATCTTACTTTCATGGAGAAGTAAATAAAAGTTGATTTTCCCAGTCTTTAGGCTGGGATCAGTGTGTAATACCTGTTCTTTGTCTCTCTGTCATGCTTCTGTTTTTGGACAATTCACGGAAAGGGATCTGAGAAATGCCTTGTTCCAGAGATTCCAATCCTGCGGCAGTACTTTCTTCGTTGTATTAAAATAAGGTGGGTCGGTGGAATACCATCGCCCGTGTGATAGTGGTTGCGGAAACCGGTCAGTTTTTGTCATTAGCCTGTATATACGGTATCCGACATTAAACCGACCATCTGTCACATCTCACCACCATAAAGTGGCGTGTAAATAGTGAATCACAGTCCTGTCTGTTCTTCTTCTTTCTGACTCCGAGTAGTTCACGGAAAAGCAATGGGGGATTCCTAGTCTCAGGGATTCCAACCATGTGGCAACATCACTCTTATTACCCTAAAGAGGTCTGGGGTGTACACCGACGCTAGTGTGACAGTAGTTTCTGAAACTGGGCAATTTCTGTCCTAGCCTATATCTATGCGTATGGTCACTTCACCTTAAACGGACCCTGGCTACCGGAAGGAGGTAGACAAGTATCGTGCATTTTCGATAAATTTATTTTAATTTATGTATTGAAGATTTAGAATTTCTATTATAATTCTGCTTGTCCCTCCCGCCTTTCGTTAGTTAGTTCCTTAGTTCGCACGACCGTTACGTCCTGCCAATGCCTCAAATAATGGACTATTCCGTTTTGGTCGCATGAATACACGGAGCTGACATATCAGAGACGCTACTTGATTTCAGTGAGAAAATGAAAGAAAGAGAGAAAAAGAGAGAAAGAAAGAAAGAAAGGGTAGATAGAAGTGTTTAACGCCTGTTTCAATGAAATGGAAAAAGTTGTCAATTTCAAATCTTTTCATTTATACACCCTTACTTATAAATAAATTTATTAATAAAACTAACCATATTTCCGACTCATGAACATTTCTATTAATAATAATTTAGAAATAATCCAACATTTAAAAATAATTCAGCAGACGATGTTATTTTATTTATGGTAACTTGATTTTTGGCGATTGCCTTACTTCGTCGTTTCCATCGTTCGATACTGTGCGTCTGAAAAATGACGCTTTTATCGCGGTCACCATGGTTTCTCAGACTTTTGGCTAAGATCAAAGTGTAGTATCTGATTGTCCCTCTACTTACATCTTCCCTTTTTACTTTCATTTTCTCACTGAAACTAAGTAATGTCTTTCTCTCTTTCCGCGCAATCAAAGCGCAATAGTTAATTATTTATAAGGCATTGGAGGGGCGTAACGGTCGTGTGAATTAACGGCGGATGGGATAAGCACAATTATAATAGAATGTTTGCAAGGCAGGTTTTCGGCTAGTTCACAATAGTTATAATTATTAAGTTTATAATTCTATATGCAAAAACTAAAAAGATTTTATGGCGCTCGGAGTTTGTAACGGGTGAGGTTACCAGTTTTTGCGTGAATCATCGATGTGTAGCGGCGTTGACCAATCTGTTGAAG